CCTCATACCAAACGGACCTAAGGATTCCAAACTTTACTCATTTAGTCTTGGAAATGTTATGCCACTCCCTTATCATGTATACTGGTACATTAGTATTGGTAAGTTTCAAAGAACTACATAGAGGTCCAAGAGGATGTCTATGTCAGTTTTCTTTCTTATCAACAGATAACTACCTTTTCAACATGGTCTTGGCAGGGCAATCTTAGTAGATACCTTGTTTGTGGATACTGTGGAAGGCTTTGCTTTTCATCCACCATCAAGGACGCACATATAATTCATTGTCTTATCTGCTCCTTTTACATACTATAGAGAATGGTTCTGAGAAACCTTTGTCTAGGATTAATGCTATAGATCTAGGTGTTTGGGATATTTTATTGGACCACTTCACTTCATGTACTGCTTTCTCGGACTTTTCTTCTATGTAAATATACGTATAATTTTCATAAAAAAATAACCTAAAGGACCTAGCTTCCTTCTTTTTCCTTTTCTTGTCCGCTGCTGTCTTCTACCCCAAAATGACACCATTTTGGGCTAAAATGAGGATGATGAGACCCCTTTTTTTTTTTTTCCCTAAGGAGCATTTAACGCTTGAAATATTATTTTAGTAGCAAATTTATTGCACCTAGCATCATAAAATATTTTTCAATACAATAGTTAAACTAATTGATTATGATTTGAGCATTATGCAAGTGCAATGATGCAATCCCATCAACCAAATCCCTCACTTTGGGGGATTTTTAGGAGCCGGAGCCGGCCTATCCCTCACTATGGGGGACGTAAGGAGCCATAAAAGGCCTATCCCTCACTCTGGGGGACGTAAAGAGCCAAAAAGGCCTATCCCTCACTATGGGGGACGTAAGGAGCCATAAAAGGCCTATCCCTCACTATGGGGGACGTACTGAGCCAACCATCATGCATTAATGGAGGCCTTACCACGTGGTAGTAACAGACAACACTCTCACCAATTCCCAATTAATGCATCATGCTCAAATCATAATCAAAGAGTAATAATCATTTCACAATTAACCTCATTCAGTGGCATATCTTTCACAATTCCAAAACTCATTCATCATCAATCAAAAACCCCACAAGACGGTTTTCCCTTTTTATATACAACATATAGTTTGAACACAATTACTACTTGGAGCATAAAACACAAATCTACTCACAATACCACAGAAGCAAGTACTAAGGATTGGAAAGTGGTTACCTCTTGCCTAAGCAAGGAATAACAAACCGACAATGTGGCCCCGTGCACCACCAAGACTCACAACCGGTCTACACAAGCACACAAACACACAACCATCATATATTAGCTTTCAAACTAATAATGTGGCCAAAATAACACTTGGGGACACAAAATTCCTATCTCCCATCAAAACTCTACCCAACTCAAAGGGTATATCTATCAAGACAACATTCCAAAGTCATACCGATCCATTAACACCTTAATTCCTTTCCAAACATCAATTAAGATTCACAACCTCAAGGACCCACTATGGAGTTCTACACCCAAACATCCCATTTGAGCAATTAAGGTTCCAACAACAATTCTAAACCGATTAAACATCCAATTTAACCCTCCTTAACATAACCCAATTCACAAAACTCAAAATCAACCTCTACATTATCATCCTCAATCCCAAATCATCCAATTCCATAAACCCTAGCTCCAAAAACTCAAGATTCTTTAAATCCAAGGAAACTACACCGATTAAATACTTAAACTAACCCAATGCAATCAATTAAACTCAAAACAATCGGTCAAAAACCTCAATTTCATCACAACTTAGAAAATCCTAGGGTTCCACCAAAAATCCTTAGAAATTCCAATCAAGAAGATAGATTAGAGGTTAAAATCACTTACTTGAGGTAATGGATCCTTAGAAATGTCTCCTCCAAGCCAAAAGTTCGAAACCCTAGCAGAGCTCCTCTCTCCTCCTTCAGATTTTCTTATTTTCGCACAACTGAACCCTCCAGCGATTATATAGAATCGTGACCTTTCGCCGCGGCGAACTAATCCCGAGAGGGATTACTCGCCTGAAAACCTGACTTCGCCGCGGCGAACTCCAATCTTCGCCGCGGTGAAAGCTTCCCGAGAGGAAACTCTCGCTCGCCTAGAAGACATTCGCCACGGCATGCCCCTAACTTCGCCGCGGCGAAACCTTCCCGAAAGGGAAGCCTCGCTCACCTGAACAACTTCGCCGTGGCGTCCCCTAGACTTCACTGCGGCCAAACCTTCCCGAGAAGACACTCCCCTCTGAAACTCCCGGTGCGCCGCGGCGAACATACCCTGAGAGGGGTACGTTCACCTATTCCTCCAACAAACCTCAAATCCAACCCAAACACCAAGATCAAGATTAAATCACTAATCTATCCTCAAAATCAACCCAAAAGAGGCTATTAAAACCCGATAAAAACTTAGGATGTTACACCAACTACTAAATATTGGGTGTTACTAGAAAAATATTTTAGGTTGTTAGGCATGAGATGTTAGATATTGGGTGGTATTGGAAAAATGTTTTAGAGTTCTAAGTTTACTAAAAATTATTTCAATATATTAGGTACTACTAAAAAAGACTTCAAGCTGCTAGATATTTTTTAAAAGAAAAAAGTGCTTACCATCTCTTATTTTATCCAAAAATGGTGTAGTTTTGGGGTAGAAGATGGCAGCTGATGGAGAAGGAAAATGAGGGAAGCTAGGCGCCAAATACACTCTTTTTTTTTTTTTTAAAGATCAAATAATTTGCATTAAGATAATTTCCACTGTGTCGTGAAAGGTATTATAATTCTCATCAACATCATTTAGAGGAAAAGAAACATAACTTTGCATGAAAGATCTGTCTCAAATCCTCTTGCAGTTGCATGAGGGATCAATAATGCAATCTCTTTCTCTGATATTGCATTCTTTCATCAAGCAATTAGCTCGCCTTCAATTTCTATGGGCCTCTTCAGGAGTCAATTATCTGTTTCAACAATACTAATTGGACTATTTTTCTGCATAAAGTTAAAGCAAGGAACAAATTTTTAATCTGTAATTTTTGGATTTGTTTTTCAGGGTCAACTTTTGTGGCATTTTCAATAGCTTAGGAAATTTAAAGGGGATCACATTTTTAACTACAAGTGTTTCCGATCCTCCTTTTATAGGGTCATCAATTCTCCTTTCTTCTCTTCGAGTAACCAATACAATTCGCTTAATTTGACAACTACAGAGACAAAACTAGTGAGATTGTCTTGAAGAGATATCATCCTTTTTTGTAAGCTGTTTTCTGATTTAGGGGGTGTTTAGATGAAATCAAACCATGGTTTGAAGAATAGCTTCTAGAGAATAGATTTTGAAAGAATAGATTTTGTGAAAAAATGATTTTAATAAAATGAAAATGTTTGGATAGTTGTTATCAGAAATGCTTTTTAGATACAAATTATTAAAAAGAATATAAGTTAATATGATAATTACATAAAAGATATATTATAATTTACATTTTCATTTGAAATAATAAATTTGCTAGTAATTTTTTTGCCAATAAAATAAGTGATATATAAAAAGTATAATTAATTAATTGCTAATGTGTGTATATATACTTATAAAATATAAAAATAAATATGTTTTTAGAAAAATGAGTATTTTTTCCAACAAAAAATATTATTATAAACATGAAATGCTGATAGATTATCTAGTTTTGAAAGTTGGAAATATTCTTCCATACCCCGTCATTATTTGTCTGCGTGTCAGCGACCCCACCCATCCTGAGGTCTGACCATTTGACCACTCTGAAGTTTCAAGCCTTTTGATCATCATAATAATTATCTCAGCACTAGTTTTTATCTCAAAAGCGAAATTTTTTTGCTTTTCTTCAAACTATGGTTTAAAAACTATGGTTTAAAATGTTGAAACCATAGTTTTGACCCAAACCATAGTTTTTCAAAAAATTAGTATGTTGGGATAGTTTTGGACCTAAACCATGATTTAGGGTTTAAAATTGTTTTTTTATTGTTTGCCAAACACCCCTTAGATGTAGGGATTGTTTAGAAGAAAACTAAACTATAATTTTAAAAGTTTTTTTTAGAAGTGTTTTTTTAGTTATTACCAAATATCATCCCAGTAGACTAATAGTTCATGCTTCGCATCTTGTGTTATTTAAATTTTCTTATTTTTATTTGACTTTGGGCGCCAAATACACCCACCCCTCTTATATTCTTCTCTTACCAAAAGCCCCAAACAGATAAAAAGTGAGTTCTAGGACAATTAAAGAGAGGATATGAGAAATAAAGTTGTAATGAATTCGATTAAGAAAAATAAGGAAACGGAATTTCTTTTGAGTAAAGTAGTACTAATTTGGATAGGTTGAGAAAGCTATACAAATTATTAATTATAACGAATATGATATAATCTTCTTAAAATACTTCTATATAACATTAAATCATATAAGTTAAGTAAATTAGTTTAGAAAAAATTATAAATACAAGAGATAAAATACATTAAGGTATTATATTTAGGATAAAATCTAATCTTCCAACTAATTCTTATACTCATCTGGTTTTATTTATAGGGCAGAGAGACATTTTTTGGTTCTGTGAAGTCCCACATCGACGGAGAGGGGAACGAAGTATGCCTTATAAGGGTGCGGATATTTATAAGACACTGAAAGAAATTTTTTATATGAATGTATAATTTTACCCTCTATTTATTATTGTGTTGATTTTGTATATTAAATAGGGATAAAATTAAAATTTTTTAAATTTTAAATAAGAGTTAAAAAAGTTTAAGAGTTTTCTTAACGTGTATAAAAAATATTAAAAGTGACTTGTAAATACAATCAGTACAGTAGTAAAAAGAAATGAGCTCGTGGCAGTAAAACGACGTCGCCCGATTATAGAAACGTGTCTTTTCTGCGCGCTGACCGCTTCATCCTCTTCCCCATCTGATGCTTCTTCCTGAATCCCAAAACAAAACGCATACATCTTCCATTGCCATTTGTCAAACTTCTTCATTAGCACCAAACCCTTCAAGCCATTTGGTGTATCCGAGGTCTCATCCTCATCCCCTTCTCTTCTTGCATTCTCAGTTTGTTCATTTTCTCCTCAAAGTTCTTCAGGTTTCCAGAAGCCAAAGCCGTGAGGCACCCGAGCCATGTCTTGGCTGAGATCTGCGGTGAACAAAGCAGTGGAGGTTGGCAATAAGAACAACCTCACTCGCACTGTTAAGAACTATGCTGACTCTGTCGTTCAACACGCCGGTCAAGCCGTCGCTGAGGGCGCCAAGATTCTTCAAGATCGCATTGTAATTTTTCGTGTTCCATTTTGCACCGATTGGGGTTTTCGCCACTTTTACATTCTTATTTTGTGCCCCTTTTTGGTTTTATTTTCAATTTTGTCACTTTGTGCTTTTCAATTTCTATCGGAAATGGACTTGCCACTTGCACTATATTTTTTTGGGTTTATCATCATGCTAATTGGTTGTCATATTGCTAAAAGGGTTACGAAGTTTAAGTTTGTGGCTCGCGACTTCGGTGGCTCATTTTCTGTTACTACTCTTTCATTTCCGAGAAAGAAAAAGCCTTCTTTCTTGACACCAAACGTTACAAGGGATAGAACATGAGTCTCCCCTTGTGTGTTAGGGTTTTATGGCCTTACTTTTACTGTCAAATTGAAGAGGAGGAGCTCATAAGGTCTTCATATTGCATGTAATCTAACTGTTCAAATGCTCAACAAGTTATTAGCTGCTTGCTGTGATTAAAATGCTCTTTTGTTATGTCCATAAAATCTTGTTTATTTTAAGTTGATGGGAGCGACAAGGTGATACTGATGAGTTGATCTTGTATCTTGCTTTCATTTACAGGCTGCTCGGAATTTCAGAAGCGCTGTTCAGACGGCTAAAAAACTGGAAGAAGCTGCTATCTCCTATAGGGGCTCGGAAAGAGTGCAGTTGCTTAGAAGATGGTTGGTTGTGCTCAAAGAGATTGATAAATTATCTGGAGCTTTGGCTGAAGGTAAAGAGAAGACATTGGAGCAGCTCGTTGCTATTGATGAAGCAAATGAGAATCCAAGGAAACCGTCTTTGGTTGGTAACTCTTTGCATACCATTCTTGTAATTTTTTAATTTTATCTGATTGATTTTCGGCCACTAAACTTTCCGATTTTTCTGGGAATCTGGTTATAACTTTATGACTTGGCAGTATCTCTAGAATTGTGGTGATTGTGGTTCCTAAGTTCTTTTTATGCTTCTATTTCAGTTTCAACTAAACAAGTTCTAGCTGAGAAGATTTGCTATTTATTTTTACTCGTACTACTGTTGATTGCAGAAAAACTGCATGGCATGGCTCTTTACAGATGATAATAGGATTCTTGGGTTGTTTGCTTATTTCTTTTTGTTCAACTGTATTGTAGAGGGAGCTTTTCACTTTTGTTCTGCTATGTGGGCAGAAATGTTGCATTCATTAGCAGTCATGGTATATCTGTAGAATTTCATCAATCATAGCTTCTTTAACTTTTTATCCAATCTGTAGGGATCGTTTTATGTTTAGAGTTCATGCACATTATTCTGTGAAGGATGTTGTATGCTGTAACTTGAACACAAAAGGTTTCACGTGCTGTAAGAAGCTACTTACTGTTGATATTAAACATCAAATCATCCTTTTATCTAAGCTGCTTGTCATTGTGCTCTTGCAATTTGTCAGATTCTTTATTATGATACTGATGTTGGAGGTGAACCAATAAACTTTCGTGAAGTTTTTCTTCGAAGTCAGGCTTTGGAGGGCATAACAATATCAATGGTATGTTTAAATGTGATAATTATGTGTAGAGTTATGCAAACATGTTTTTGCATTTCATGTACAACTACCATTTTGTTTGTAATTGTATTCAAATGCACTATTAGTCTACTCACATTGTGTGGTCTTCCCAAATGCCTCAGTATCCCTATAGATCTTAGTTGAAAAACTTGATAAAAATTGGAAGCATGGCTGAATGTCCAACTAAAGTGTCATCAAGTAAGTTCTGAATGTTTTAGAGGAAAAGTGTTTATAGATATCCAAGGTATCCTAAAAGATGACTATATTAAGAAGTCTAAGCTGAAGATCTTGCTTCTAGAAATATTTTTGTGATGTGAGGCAGAAGTATGTTTGTGATTTGAGGCATGTTGTTAGCATTACAAGAGCATTCATGTAGGCTTAGGAACTATAATCTGTATGGGCGTGAAGTGCAAGTACTCCTATTTGTAAATTATAAATTTCCGCAAATATAACATTCAAATATAATGCACTTGATTGTATTTACAATTGGAGGGAAAATTATTCTATTTCTTAGGTCTTTATATGTATATGATCAGTCGCTGATCAGCAAGTGTAGACTGTACAAAAGTAAGCCAGTGTATGGATGGGAAGCTTGAAGCTGGCCCTCCTGGGTTAATGGTCTTTATTTGCTTCTGAGCAAACTGATTTGTATGTTGATTATAATTTTTGTTGCAACACTGTTATACATTGCCATTGCCCAAAATAATTTTAACATGTAAATATTTTTTTCAAACTATTTTTAAATAAATGGGTATCATAATCATAAAAGAGTGTCTTAACTAATAAATTATTTTTTAGGGAAAATTAATCATAGTCCTCATAGTTTACGTCAGTTTTTACATTAGTCCTTATAATTTAAAATCTAGATTGCTGGTCTTCCTTTGCACAGGGTTTAAAGTAAACGCACTGTTTATGGATTATGGATAGGCCTTACAATTTGAACTGCGTTTGTTTTGTGAAAACTTCATTGGACTACAGGCCTTTGGTGATGTAGTCAGCAATTTTGGAATGTCCAGAGGGAAGGAGGGAGAAAGTGTGAGAAAATGGAGAAGTGAGCTCTATAGAGAGGGGGAGGGAGAGGGAGATGCTATTGTAATAAATTCTGGCCATGTTTGCCCAGATTGATTTTTCTTTTGTATTCTTTTTTTTGGGTGAGAAATAAGAAATGAGGGTGGGTTTGTATGTTGCTTTCCTTCTCTTTGACTTTGGTCTCCCTGCTGCTTACATGATATGCATACTAATGATGATTAGTCGGAGGGAAGATAGAGATCGTAGAAAATGGAGGAGCAAGAGCTAGGGAGGCTTCCAAAGTAGGAGTATACCTGGATCTTGTGAGAATGCCTCCAAGATGCTAATTAATCTCCTTATTTGGCACACATGTCCAACTTTTTGCCACATTATCATCTAAATGCCATTAATGCCAGAAATGAATCATAGGGGTAATTTTGTAAGTGGATTGAACTCTGGGGACTAACTTTTACATGGTAAGTAACTATACTGATTGATTGCAAAGATTTAAATTATATGTACCAAATTGAAAATGAATTATAAGGAGTGATTGATTATTTTCTCCATCTTTTAATTGCTGATTATGGAGGTTAACCACAGGGTTAAATTTTTTTGTGCCTCAGATTCTTGAAGCTCCTAATGACGAAGAGGTTTCTCTTCTCCTGGAGATGTTTGGGTGAGTCTGCTAGCTTTTGTATTTTCTGAGATTGTGATATGAAATTTGCTATTGTTATATATACCTTGTTCGGTTCCATAGCTTTTGATGTACATAGCATTGGGTTCCATTGACTCCACAATTTTAAATCCTTGGCTGCGTGTTTTGTGAGACTTATATGTATTTATCTGGCTTGTGAGTACGTTTTCTGTAGATTTGATGAGGAAAGTTTCTCACCCAGCTATTTCCTGAGTTTCTGCGGTATTGTAGGAATCTATTTAAAATCATTTGCATTTGCACATTTCTGTCAAGCCTATGATAATCCTAACCATCTCATTACCATCAATTGTCTATAGTCTCTGTCTTTCTGGGGGAAAAGAAGTTCATAATGCCATAGTAAGCAGCATACAAGATCTGGCAACAGCTATTTCAAGTTATCAAGATGAAGTATTGGTATGTATAACTCCAAAAATTTTCGCTAGATTTTCATTTTTGTGTTCGGTAATTTTGGGATCTTTGAAAGTTGGTTGATTATCAATATTTATATTTACGTCTTGAGTCTCAATTTTCAAGTTCGCACACATATTGAACTTCTGGAGTAACATTTACTAACAGACTAGTCCATGACGATTATGCTAGCTATTTGCTGTGGTAAAGTATGTAAAATAATAAGTCTATAGAGTATTGCACTATGAATAATTGGATCTTGGAAAATTTGAAGATCTACAGTGTGGATTACCTAAATGATCACGCATGCTGTTTGAGAACGTATTTATAGCAATAAAAATTCTTGGGAAGTACGATGCCATGAATATTAGATTTATTAGAATTTTTGAAGATATCCTGTGTTATTGATTTGTTAATGATTTTTGTGCTTTTACAAACAATATGCTTGTGGTTTTAGAAGTAGTGTTATACTCACTTTGGTCTTTTTTGTGAGAGCCTGATAACTAAATTATGCAGTATAAGAAAGCAGTTAAAATTAGTTAAAAGTGATAAATATGTAAAAAAAAAAAAAGAACTTTTTTTTCCAAGTATACCCTTATTTATAAGGGGGTAATTAAGAGAGAGAAATAGAGTAATATTGAGAGAAAGTATGAAAAAGAGTGTAGGATGCTAAGTTGTCAACCTTTTAATTAATGCAATGTATAAAATTAATTAGGGGCAAAAATGACAAATGCACATTAAATGTTCCACCTAGGCTCTCATAAAAAGGACCAAGGCAATCCAAATTTCAGGCTCTTATAAAAAGGACCGAAGAGAGTATTGAATAAAGAAGTGCAATATTGGGCATCTGATTGTATTAACACAGATAGTTTTGTCAAATCTTTTTCTAAAAGATCAACGAAGGTCCTTTCATAATGCATTCAACTTTCAGAATTTATTATAAACTTAAGAACCTAACAATTAGATTCTTTGGTTAATGATAGATTGTAGACGAGTCATAAACTTTTTATGACACTAACTTAGAATCATGAGTAAAATTGATGGCAATTAATCTTTGAAATAAGGATACAATAGTAAAAGGAAAAAAAAGGAGAAAATGAGCCACATGGGTGATGCCAGAGTGCCGAAGCATCTGTGAGCAATTAGCTTTGTAACTTGCAGTTATTCTTTTTCTAGTCCATCAAGTGACACACCATGCGAATATTTACTGTTACTTCAGGTGAAACGGGAGGAGTTGCTTCACTTTGCTCAAGGTGCTGTAACTGGGTTGAAAATAAATTCTGAACTTGGAAGGTCAGTTTTAGGCAAAGAGCTCTGGTTGTTATTTTCTTTTGAGAAATGGTAGAGAGAAGCGAGTGATATTGCACTTGGTACTCTCAATCCCAACATTGAGAGTTAGATTTACTGAGAACGTGTGGGATGTATTGATTTTGCATACAACAGTAAATGATGCATACACACGTAATCTTGATAAATAAAAAAGAAATAATCACCTGCCATCTACTCTCACAACTAACTTACAAATGCAAAAATAACCCTGCACTGATCTCGTACTTTATCCTGTGGAACATTCTAGTTTATGTGTTGATGTGGAGTTTATATTGCAATACTGGTGTATTAAATAGTCAGTATGTCCTTCAGTTAATTTTTTTTGTCCTTTCTCACTGTAAGTAATAATCTTTCTTATACTGTAAAATAATTTACAAGGGCACCTGAAATTTCCTGATGTAGGAATGGTTCTCGGCTTGTATTATTCATAGTAAGCAGAACATTGCTTATATAGGAATGATTAGGATAACAATGTGACAACCCATTCTGATTGAGAATCGAATCCAATCAAGGAATGATTGATAATCAGATTTGACCCCCTTAGAATGAAGGAATCAAAACGACCACAATCAGGAAAGGAAATAAAATTAAAATCAGACTGAACTTATGGTACTGTTTAAGAAAATGAAGAGGCTGCAATTGGATGGCAACTTTGGTTTGGAATGTCTTTCATATTGCTGCGCTGGGAGCCTGGGAAACTATTTTGCATTGGTATGGGTAAGGTAAAGCTAAGGAACTGGACCTTTTTTTTTTTTTTTTTAATATAGGATATGAGAACAGTGAAATATGTATAATGCATATTTAATATATAACATATCCTGTTAATAATAAATAATGTAAGTAATAAGTATCTTAAAATACATAATTAATGAAGACAGTTAGTTAATTTAGTTAATGTATTGTTTTAAAAGTGGCACTGAAAATTTGTCTTAAAATTGTTTTAAATTATTCAGTTCTGGGTGTCCCTGGTTGTTGAGCCCAGGGAGATCGACAGTAGGATAAACCGCCACCAGCAATAAAATTTTGCAACATGATGTAGAGCTTAGTGAGAATACTAGAGAAATCCAGAGTTTGCAGTCCTTCTAAGATAGAATTATGTAGTAGGTTCTGGTTTGCATTTGAGGAGGGAGAAAACTTAAGATACGGGTATGAAGCTCCCTTCTAGAAGTCTTCTACCTATAGCCAAATCTAACTGCAATTCAACCTTCTATTTTAATTTTCAAAAGATCGATACTTATGGGACAGTAATTTCACCATACCCCGGACCCTTGACCAATATGTTTTTGGTACAATTGTGGCTTAACTTTTACCTGCCTGTGGTTTTATAGCTGGGAAGACACATTTGTTGATGATAGTTGATCGTCATGTTGTGTAAGCTTTCAAATTAATTATCTAAATTAACTCTATAGAGTATAGAGGTTAACCTAGGTCGTCTCTCTCTATTAGGAGCTTTGTTAAAATTTTGAGAACTTCTTTAATTAGAAACATGTGATGTATAACAGGAAGAAGTGTGAAAGAAAATTGATTGATTTTTTTTTTAAGAAAATAAATTGAGATAAATAAAGGAAAATTAAAAGAAAGCAAAAATTATAGAAAAACCTTACCAGAATGATGCACTTCCTAAGACGTTGATGACTGGCTATCATGGTTAAAAAAGATGTGGAGTTTGTATAAAAACAATTATTAAGTTAAAAGAAATACTCTAGATAACATCTGAGTCATGATTAATTAATTAACAATTATACTTAGGAAGCTAGCATACGATCATCTTTCAATTAATCAATTAACAGCCACTTAGTTTGTCAATTCAATTAAACAACTATATTTTGCTCCTTAAAAAGAGTAATCTATTGAGTATCGAAAACTCTAAAACATGAACTATTTATGCAAATCAAAATAGAAAACTATAAAGATGAACATTCATAGAATCATAAGGAAACTTAAAATATATTCATTGTAAATTTCAAAGCATAATTATTTGATCGAAACACAAATTTAATAACATCCCATAAAAAGAAAATAAAAATCCTAACCTAGAAAATTTATAAAGACAACGAATTCTTAGATTGAGATATCAAAACTAATAAACTCCCTAATTCATACAGCAACTCAAGCCATGTCATCTTGTCGTTAGGAACAAAGAGGATCAGCCAAACATATAGCTAAATGACGCCATAATGAGAAAAAGAAAATAAGAAGAAGATAGTAAACAATTAGACATAGGAGAAGCCAAGTGCATACTTGTGGTCGTGCAAGTATAGATGGCCTCGTTCCTTCTCCAAGGCTCCCTTGATTTCCTTTTATAGCTCTTAAATTCATCCTAGTTGAATGAGGAAGCCGACCCCATCTAGTGGGATAAGGCTTGTTGTTGTTGTTGTTGTTGTTGTTGTATATCTTGAATTCAAAACATGGAACCTTGAATTTGAATTCTCTCGATTGGTGTGATCTTCATGGCAACCAAAAGGAAGAGTTTTTGAATTTAAATAATAGTGGATAAAATGATAATATTTCAAATTTAAATAAAGATATGATGGTAGGATGAATTGGAGTTAGGGTTTAGGAAGAGTATAAAGATGATAATGTAGATATTTTGAAAATTTAATGAATAATGGATATATGGTGGATATGGCATGAAATTTAATGAAAAATATGAATAAAATTTTTATACAAATTCAAAATACAATAAACGGATAATTATTCAGGCTCTTCAATTTAGGGTGGAAGGTATGAGATATTTTGGTTGGATATTTTGGATAATTCCTAATTAGATAATTGGGAAATTCTCTTTTAATTTCAAGTAGCCGCCATAAATGTAGTTTCCATGAGATCCATGTTTTGGTCGACAGAATATTCCCTAAAATCAAAGCAAATATACCTTTCAAAAGGATGATTATAAAAATATAATAAAAAATGCACTTTTAAGCAATTAATTTATATAATTTTCTTAATTCAAATTGTGAGTATCTACTGCATTTTAAGCTTATAAAATTCCTTAATTATATATAAGCATATATTATAAAATAGGGATACATCAATAGTCTTTCTTTCTTATTTTATTTGAGGATGATCGCTTGTCCTCTGCTTTTGTATTTTCTTTATAATTTTCTCTTCTTTTCATCATATTCTATTTTTCCCATGGCGTAAAATAGGTGCTTATTTGACTTATTGCTATTGAACATTTGAACCTGTGGTTCCTGCAACGATAAAGACTTGTTGGCATTCTCCCTCACGTCACTTCTTGTTTTTCTTTCACAGAATAGATGCCGAAGCCTCTAGCCTTAAAAGAAAACTAAATGAGATGACGTCTCAGAGGCCTTTGAAAGATGGTGATGGTAAATCAGCTGAAGAAACAACAGCCACAATAGAGGTCTGGGTGTTCATAGTTTCTTTTTGTCATTTTGTGTTCGATTATGGATTTTGGCAAAATAACTGAAACATTTGAATGTAAAAGTGATGGAGTTTTCTGAATCAACGTCACTTTAAGAAACAAGGATGTTATGGGTAAAATCATGCCGCATGAAGTGAGAACTTTCCACAAACCATTTACAGCCTACAGGCTTGGGGAAACTTTAAAAAAGACATCCTAAGATATGCTTGGGTGACTAGTGTAGTTCTTCTTTTGTTTGTTTTGTTTTTTGTGTGTTTTTTTTTTTTTTTTGGGGTTCATGGGGAGTGGTACTCTTTCTTGTACATATATGACCTTTTTGATGTTTTGAATATATAAAACAGAATATAATCTGCTAACCATATTGTAGGCTTTAAAAGAAGCCCTAGCACAGATTCGAATTTGTTCCAGGCTGGAAGGACTATTACTGAAGAAAAGAAATCTGAACAGTGGAGATTCTCCTGAGGTTCATGCCCAAAAGGTACAATCCATTCTTTCCTTAGAATTTCTTGGAGGAGTGAAAATGATGGGTAAAATTCTTATTTTTAGCTTCTTGAAGACTGAAATTGAGGATAACAACCCTGTAGTCTGATATGTGTGAGAAAGAAAAGAGAAGATTGAACCAAGAGTTTCTTATATTTTTAAACTGCACTGCACAATTCTTTTTTTGATTATAAACTAAATAAGACCTTATGGTTGTAATTTTGTAATTCCGCTAGTTTTTCCTATTTTCATGAAATCTGAGCAAGATAGAAATTAGCTCCCCCCCCCCCCCCAACTTTTCTGATTGCATTTTCACTGATAATAGAAATTACAGAGCAAAACGTGCTATTCCATATTTGCCGAAATTTTAGAATAAACAAGATGTTACAACTTGACAACTTGTTTAGTTTGAAGGGTTTATATATGCTATCGACTCATTACTCAACAGTGCTGTTAGATGCTGATATATTTGAAATATGTTTTTTGTGGAGGGCATCCATTGCTTATAATGCATGTGCGTTTATGAAAATTTAATGGAAAACAGGGGAAATGGTTAGCTTTTGTCGGTCACTTGAATTATTTATCAGCAGCATATAAAACTAAAACCGATTGCTTCAACGAGGTGTATATTGTTGGATAAAAGTTTGGCAAAGTTTATACCCTCTAGTCTACCAAACTGGACACTTGATACATAGAAATGGTTGAAAGTTCGGGAAGATTAATGCTAATGTACCCAAAGGCCACGGAAGAAACACTTGGCTTGTCCTTGGGTCATCTGTAGAGTATATAGATGAGTTTATGATGAGATTGGTTATATGATATTGTAGGAGAAATTGCCCGAAAAACTTACTTTTATTCAGTAGCTAATGACTGTATATAAAGGCATGCATCCTCGATTATAATCTTCCCTTAGGATTAGCCAGATCTACAGAATCAAACAACAAGAAGAAGCGTTATCCCACTGGTTAGGGTCGACTACATGAATTACATGACGTTATTGTGCTCTTTCAACAACCTAGTCCTTAGATATATTGTTGACTAGGAGGTCTCGTTCAATGACCTCGTTGAGTGTTCTTCTCGGGCTTCCTCTGTCTTTTTTTAATGAGATTCCATATCGTTTGATCTACCCTCCTTATCGAGGTCTCCAATGGCCTTCTCTGTACATATCCAAACCATCTTAAGTGATTTTCAACCATTTTCTCTTGGATAGGTGTCACACTGACTCTTGCTCTGATATTTTCATTTCGAATCTTATCTTTTCTTGTATGACCACATATCTATCTCAACATTCTCATTTATGCTATCTCAATTTTGTGCTCTTGTTTTTCTTTTATCGCTCAATATTTACTATCGTACAACATAGCTGATCTTATAGCAGTCCGATAAAATTTTCCTTTAAGCTTCTCAGGTACCGTCTTATCGGAAATAACTTCGGTAGCATTCCTCCACTTTAACTAGTTAGCTTGTATTCTATGAGAAACGTTTCCGTCAATTTCACCATCCTCATGTATAATGGATCCGAGGTATTTAAACTTTGATACTTGAGGAATGATTTAATCCCTCATCTTCACTTCCAAATCACCATTACTTTACCTTCCCCCAAAATTGCAATGTATATATTCTGTTTTGTTCCTACTCAAGGAAAAACTTTTCGACTCCGAAGTTCTTCTCCATAACTCCAAACTAGAGTTAATCTCTTCTTTTGACTCTGTCATGAGGACTATGTCATCTGTAAAGAGCATGGACTCAGGGATTCTTTCTTGAATAAGCTTGGTTAGAACATTCAGAACAATATTAAACAAATAAGGGCTCAAAGAAGATCCCTGATGTAGGCCAATTTTAATGGAGAAGTCCTTTGTCTCACCTCTAGGCGTTTTTATACTAGTAGTTACACCCTCATACATATTTTGTATAGCTTTGATATAAGCTACCCGTACACTCTTTTTTTTCCAAAACCTTCCAAGGTACTTCTCTTGTCACATGATCATCAGTTTTTTCAAGTCAATAAAAACCGTATGTAAATTCCTTTTTTTTATTCCTATATCTTTCCATTAACCCCTTTAGCAAATAGATTGCTTCAGTTGTAAATCTTCCCGGCACAAATCCAAATTGGTTCTCTGAAATAGAAGTCTCCAACCTCAACATATATTCAATCACTTTTTTCCACAACTTCATTGTATGACTCATAAGTTTTATCTTTTTGTAGCTTGTACAGTTTTGAATGTCTCTTTTATTCTTGTAAATAAGAAATAAAATGCTTCTCCTCCAATCATCCGGCATATTCTTGGGGGCGTAAAATTTCATTAAAAAGCTTGGTTAGCCACAATTCACCCTCGTCCAAATATTTCCAAACTTCAATAGGAATACCATTAGGACCAACAGCTTTACTATTATCCATTTTCTTGAGTTGCACATTCGTTTCCCTCATTAAACAACTTGTGAAAGTAAGCCTTTTATTTGTTTGTAATATCATCATCGGTAACTAGCATTTTACCATCTTCATCTTTTATACACTTCATTTGATCCATATTTTTCTTTTTCCTCTTCTTTTGCTTCGTAATTTTGTAAATATTTCTTTCCCTGCTTTTGTTCCTGACTCCTAATAAAACCTTTCATAAGCTTTAGTACGTGCTTCGCTCATTGTTATCTTCGTTTCTTTTTTAGCCAAACGATACTTTTCCCAGTTTTCTTCACTATTGCACAAATGTATGGCCTTAAAACAATCTCTTTTCTGTTTTTCTCTTGCACACTCTTATCCCACCACCAAGTCTCCTTATCTCTCTGACTATGACCTTTGGATTCTCTCAAAATTGCTTTAGCTACCATACGAACCCTTGTAGCAATCTATTCCCGCATCATGTTCGCATTTCTCTGCAACTCCCAGATCCCTTCCTCCAAAAGGGTCCTTTTGAGTAACTCCTGCTTTCTCACTTTTTAACTGCCACCACTTAAGCCTGGGTTTACCATTTGACTATGCTTTTGTCTGAAACTCTTGAAACGTACATCAAGAATAAGTATTCTATGTTGGGCAGTCACCCTATCTCCAGGAATCACTTTACAATTAGTACACAATCTTCTGTCTGTATTCTTAACCAAAAAGAAATCAATCAGTGATTTTGAGGCACAACTCTTATACGTGATTAAATGCTCCTCTTGCTTTTTAAAACAAGTGTTGATAATCTTGAGATTATATGGAAGAGAAAAGTCAAGAATAGATTGTCCTTTATTATTAAGCTCCCCATAACCAAAATCACTATGAGCCCCACCAAATTGTTCTGCTTCCTTGCTGACATGTCCATTAAGATCCTCACCGATAAAATTTTTTTCTTCAAGTGGTATGTTTTGAACCAACCCCTCCACATCTTTCCAAAACTTATCTTTAAGGTGTGCCTCTGCCCTCACCTGAGGTGTATAGACACTAATGATATTGATAGCATTTTTTCCAATAATTACTCTTAAAGATATTATTTTATTCTCAAATCTTTTAACTTCCACCACATTCTTTTTCCATGTTCCATCAACGATGATACCAACACCATTCCTTGCACTCACCTTTCCTATGTACCAAAGTTTATACCCTCCAAGTTCCGTTGCAACTTCTCCAGTCCATTTGGTTTCTTGGAGGCACAAAATATTAATCGTTCTGTCCCTCATAACTCCTACTACCTCCATAGATTTCTCATTTAACGTCCCAATATTCCAAGTGCTAAATCTAATTCTGCTTTCATGAATTAACTTATCTTTAAGGTGTGCCTTTGCCCCAACCTGAGGTGCATAGACACTACTGATATTGATAGCATTCTTTCCAACAATTACTCTTAAAGATATTACTCTGTTCTCAAACCTTTTAACTTCCACCACATTCTTTTTTCATGTTCCATCAACGATGATACCAACACCATTCCTTGCACTCACCTTTCCTATGTACCAAAGTTTATACCCTCCAAGTTCCGTTGCAACTTCTCCAGTCCATTTGGTTTCTTGGAGGCACAAAATATTAATCGTTCTGTCCCTCATAACTCCTACTACCTCCATAGATTTCTCATTTAACGTCCCAATATTCCAAGTGCTAAATCTAATTCTGCCCTCATGAATTAACTTATCTTTAAGGTGTGCCTCTGTCCCAACCTGAGGTGCATAGACACTACTGATATTGATAGCATTCTTTCCAACAATTACTCTTAAAGATATTACTCTGTTCTCAAACATTTTAACTTCCACCACATTCTTTTTCCATGTTCCATCAACGATGATGCCAACACCATTCCTTGCACTCACCTTTCCTATGTACCAAAGTTTATACCCTCCAAGTTCCGTTGCAACTTCTCCAGTCCATTTGGTTTCTTGGAGGCACAAAATATTAATAATTTTGTCCCTCATAACTCCTACTACCTCCATAGATTTCTCATTTAACGTCCCAATATTTCAAGTGCCAAATCTAATCCTGCTCTCATGAATTAATTTCTTTAGCCGCCTTTGTCCAAGAGAGTGCGGTAGCCTTTGCTCATTTAATATTACATCTGGGTGACGATGCAGCGGCTCTAGTTCATTTATCACTGTACTCGAGCCATATAGCGCGTCACTTCTGGGCAATAACCTAGCATTAGTGTAATTACTTCGTTGATCCATGTTCATGAGATTTGACAGGTTTTTGTGTTGGTTGTCGAGGGTCTAACACAACCCTCCTCTTTTATCCGGGCTTGGGGTCGGCTATACAATATAGGCAGAGTTAGATCTACAGAATCAAAGAGAAATTAAAAAAAAAAAAAAAAAAAAACAGAATCAAATCTAATCAGAATCACATATTAACCGAATCATAACAAACTAATTATATCTACTAATACTTAGACTGAACAGAACTCAGTTTTGGGCCAGGCCCATAGCGTCTTCAACAGATATATTCAACCTTTTGAGAATGCAACCATTTTGTTAATTGACAAGTCCTTTTTGGCACTCATTTTTAATGAAACTTACATGAGTTGTGTAGGTTGTGTTGGTATAGGCTCCACTTTGTATGCATGCTGATTTAGCTGTTTTTGGAGCAGAAATTTAATTTGTAAACTCTTTTTCTGGTGCATATACGGTGTCTTGAAGGGACTTCCACTTTAATTATGCCTAGATGGATTTGGATGCTATGTAACACCTGTATGGGTCCACATATTGAATACGACACAGTACAATATGTGTCATGTAATGATATTTAAGATCTAAGGATGCAGCTGCAGCGCATATATATGTATGTATATATATTCCTGAAACATTGAGCAACATAGAGAGGGGAAACAGAGAAATGATATGCTGTAAATTGTAGCCAGTGAAGAACTGATTCACCATGCCATCTTACCTATAGAGTTGTACAGAGCAAAGAATTCATGGTAAATAATAACAAATCAGATATGCCTAATGAATATTTAATCAGAACTAATGAACTCTAAAAGAATATGTTATGTAATTATAATTATAAATGGGGAAATATTTAAATATGATATAAATAGGATAAATAGGATTTAAATGATATTAGTAGGACTTAGATAGGATTTAATTATATTAGTGGGATTTGGATATTTAGATAATATTTAGATAATATTAGGATATATATTTGGATTTATATCTATTAGGGCTTTTGATTATAAATAAGTGCTCAGTATCCTTTGTAACTCAGTTTTGGAATGTGATTAGAAATTATTCAGTTTCTCTTGGTCTTCTCCTCTTTAATTTTCCTCTGATTCTCTTACTCTTTTCCCTTCTCTTTTCTCTTTCTCTCTCCTATCCTTTACTTTCCATAACAGTGGTATCAGAGCCACTCGATTCTTGGCACCACACGTGGTCAAGAAACATGGAACCCTCTTCAGTCTCAAATTTAGCAGAAAATAAAATGTGGCTTAGGCAACGTGGTAGTGTGGAGGAGTTCAATGACTTCTTTGATGGAGTCATGAGCAAAATGAAACTGCCTGAAAGGTATCATGTTATATGGCTGGCCTCAAGCAAGAATTAGCAGATATCGTGAAGCTTTTTAGGCCTATTAGTTCAGATGACGCTAAGACGTTTGCCCGTACTCAAGAAATCCTCTTATCTTGGAAGAACAAGTGCCAATCATCTCATAAGGAAAAAAAAGGTTCCACTAATCAAGGAGGCTTGGAAGTTCAAGAAGCAAATATCTCATATGAAGAAGAGTCCATCGAACTACAAGAGTCATTGGGATTCAACGAACAACCAACAACCAATGCCCAAGAAGTGTCTGTTGAAGTGCAAGAACCCTTGGAGCTTAATGATAACATCAAGAAAGATCTTTCGTATTAGTATGGAAGTGAAGAAGAAGATTCTGATGATCAAACAGAAGACTTGGCAGTTCAAAATATGATAAAAACACTCTCCATACTGATGACAGATGTGATGACCTTAATGAAGGAAAAGTCAAAGACACAACTCTCACCAAGATTGGGTTTTGTGTTTACGGGCCTTTTCTTTCAAGAAACGAGGCACAACTTCTTGTTACCATTGATCAGTTTTAATTGGGTTTCTCTTCACATTTCTCCTACAAGATTCTTGGTTCAAATTTGGTTCAAAGGCAAATTAATCAAGATGCTCTTTGGTGTTGGTCTGGGACGAGTTTTTGTGTACTTGACCCTTGAGGGCAAGGGTCTTTTGGGGAAGGGGGTATTGTTATGTAATTATAACTATAAATAGGGAAGTATTTAAATATGATATAAATAGGATAAATAGGATTTAAATGATAGTAGTAGGACTTAGATAGGATTTAATTATACTAGTAGGATTTGGATAGATTAGGATATTTAGATAATATTAGGATATATATTTGGATTTATATCTATCAGGGCTTTTGATTATAAATAAGTACTCAGTATCCTTTGTAACTCAGTTTTGGATTGTGATTAGACATTATTCAGTTTCTCTTGGTCTTCTTCTCTTCTCTAATTCTCCTCTGATTCTCTTACTCTTTTCCCTTCTCTTTTCTCTTTCTCTCTTCTATTCCTTTACTTTCCATAACAGAATACGATCAATATAATTATTTACAATAAAAATATCAAACATAATCCTCAAGCTAAATTATAGGCATGCAGGAAATCTTCCTTACAAATAGAGTCTCTGTTCTTTCTTTGTAAATGAAGGCCTAAAACATTCCTATTTTATCATCAAAATTTAAACTGATGCTGACGCTTGTGTAGTACAGTATGTTTATCATGTTATATCGTGTGTCTGATACAGGTGTGTCTAATTTTTGGAGGGATTGGTTCATTATAGTTTAGGTGGCACAGGTATTACAAAAAGTCTTGGAATGCTTTTCCCCCCTTTTTGATATTAAACCTACCCATTTACATTTCTCTCTGCCTCATCTATCTAAGCCTTCTCCCAAGACCTAAATTTAAACTTGTTTTATATTTATATTATAGATAACACCTTTTTTTTTTTTTTTGGTAGTTTAGGACTCGATAAGTGTTCTGTTTAAATTAGGATGAATTTATCTGTTATGTCTTGGTTGTAGAAAAATTCAAAACAATGGGAATTATTACGAGAGGTACTTAGAAACAAGGATCAGAACTTTGCTGAAAAAGTTGTGGGTTGCAGTACTCACGCTCAAGAAAGTATTGGAGAAGACAATTGGACAGGTTGGAAGAATAGCTGAGTTGAGAATGTCTAAATTGAGTTGACTATTTATTTGTTTTGTTATATGGAGGTATACACTAAGCAAAGGAAAACAACTCGTCACCGTGCATTTGAGAGGCACAGGAACTCTTCCAATTCACTTGACATTTTCCATTTCCTTTCCAACAACCAGACCCCTGTTATATAGTCCCTTCTCTCTTACTAACTGTCAATTATAAAATACCACAAATGCCTGCTATCACATGGGTCACAGCATATGTCAATATGTCCCCTATGTTCAAGAGTATCCCATGCTATCAAGTCTCTATCAATCCTTTAGTTGGAGTAGGAGTGTGCTTTACCTTTTATCTTGATTCTCCTATAAATGTAACGCGACCTCCTTCCAATATAATAAATTCAAAGGATCCCTAATCTTGAAGTTCTGCTGTATTCTTTAACAAACTGGATGGTTACCCAAGTTGGGGCGTCTGTCTTGCTACTTCAGTTGGATCTAAACTTATGAGACTTGTTTATGGAGATGATTATTTTTGAGTTTGATTATATTGTCAGTATTATTATGTATTTTATTTTGGTTATGTTTTCAGTCGTATTTTCAGTTGAATGCAGTTGTGTTTAGTCTCTTTACACTTACAAATAGTTAACTGATAAAAAAGGTTTCATGGATTATTGTAATCTCATAGTTTTGCCAATATTATTGTCATGTGTAGGTTGACAAGTTGAAGGTTTTGACAGATTCTCTTGCCAACTCTGCAGTAAAAGCAGAAAAGCGAATTGCTGACAACAGGTAGAAAGATATTTCATAAACTTTTGTTTTGTTCTCTCTTTCCCAGAGTAACCTGTCCTTTGAAATCATGTTTGTTTCATAATTGACTTATTTTCTGGTCATTTTTTGATGAACGATTCAGTTTCATTCTAAGGTGTACCTTAGAATATGCAGAAGGCTTTTCCTCTCTTTTATAAAAGTTTTTTTTTTTTTTAAATTTTTGGTACTATTGACATCATGGGTTGGTTGTGGGCGTACAAAACAAACTTAGAGATCAACATTAAGAGAACTCTATATTCTGGATATAATTCCTGGTATTTTGGTCAGTGATCATTTGTGTCCATGAGTTCACAAGGTTAACATTGATCAACACTACTAGGAATTCAATTTCTCATTCGCATTTCAATTTTCTTTTAATATTAGACACTAACCTGTATCTTTTCTTTCCTCGCAATTTGGCAGACTACAAAAAGAGGAGGCACTAAAAGTTCGTGTGAGTAAAGCTGGTGAAGCTAGTGAAAAAGAAAAGGTAACATGTTTAGCAACATTGCATTGACCATGTGAGATTAATAGCAGGACTTTATGAATGAAAATGTTTTCGTACTGTGTTGAACAGGATTTTCTGGCTATAAATATGTCTGAGTTGGCTGTTGCTGTTAGAATCTGGAAAATAGAAGTAGAAATAGGGGAAAAGGGGAAGAGAGAGAAGAGAAAGAGTAGAGAAGAAGAACTCTAGAACCAGAATCTAATTCCAGAGAATAGAGAAGAAGAATGAAAGAAATAGAGAGAAAATAAGAAAGGAAGGGAGAGACTAGGACCAGAATCTAGTTCTAGGGAAACAGAGGAGAAAGTTAGGAAACTATATAATCATTCATTCATCCGTGTCATTGATAGAATACATGTCTAATATTTATAGCCTAATACAGCAACTGCAAATAACTACTCTTTCCTAAACATATAAAACTGACATTAACTGACATTATCTTAAAATAACTGACATAGGACATTTGTAAAACTGATACTAACTTAAAATAACTGACATAAGACATTTATGATGGCTAATACAAAATCACATAATAGACATAAAACATAAAACATAATGCTAGTATTGCCTTTTGGTATCTTTGTGTTGGCAATATAAAAATGGAAAATATTCGTCTATTCCCCTTCAAAATTTTGAGCCATTTCCAAACATGTTCTCGCAACTTTAAGAGCTAGAAAATGAATGGGTAGGCCCTTTTGGGATTTAGACCCTAAAAGTACATAATCTTTGAGAATTTTAGACCCTTTTGTTCTGTCCAGTTCCCTGTTAAGCTTGTTAATAGTAGATGCCATCTCAGGCTCTATCATTTTTGCTTTTAAATTAATGTCATTGAACCAAATGACAATGGTGGTGGCTTTATTTGTAAGTTGGCCCAAAATAGCAAACGGCCTACGATTAAAATGTTTAATATTTTATTGAAATAAATTTTATATTCTGAAATGTAATTTAAAGTAACCATAATGGATATTTTAAATCAATGATTAATTCTAACAATATTATTGCAAAGTCATTGCTGTGCATGTCTTCTAAGTAATTTAATGCTTTTTATAATTGACTTTTTGAAAGATTGGTCATACACAATTATATTGATAAAAGCATTTTTAGATGATTTTTCATACATTAATTGATTCTTTAACTCAAAACGAAGGTCTTAAAATGAGTGGAAATATAAAGCATCTAAACATGTCCTAAATCCTGAAGAGGTTTCTTTCCCCAAAGCTGGGTGCCTTAGTGCTTGCAGCTCAGAGTTGACAGAGGATATTTTCATTACCAATGATAACTCATGACCGTTGTGATAGTTTAATTTCATCCATATAGAGGAGCATGGTTGTTTCAATACCTTTGGAAATTGTTATACCTATGCAACAAAATAACAAGTCATATCTCATTAAGGGGGAGTAACCACTTCAAAAAAGTGTTTTCACGCAAGTCGAGACAAAACTCTTCCAACATACTTTTCTTGTACACTGTGAAATCACTTCCAAAAAACTCATCCAAACACCCCCTAAGTCAATGTTGCTTTAACTTCTATATTATATATAATTTTATTCTGTCATTATACTTATGTAACTTTGGTATTTCCATATTATGCTGTGCATGCTTTCTTTTCTCGGGGGTTCTATATTTCATATTTTCAACTATTTTGGATATGCAAGAGTATATATCCAATATTTCTCCCCGTTATTTTTTGGGGTGTTTAAAAGGGGTTCTTGGTTTCCTTCACAAGAGCTAAATCAGGCTGAAACAAGGAATGATTACTTGGTGCTCCATTTGTTGCAAAGAGTTGACATTTATGCATTGTATATTTCATTCCTTCTTCATTCTCAGGAATTGACAGCTGAGATATCAGAACTTCAACGAAAAAAGGATGATCTTTTAGCTGAATTGAACAAGGTATCGTTCCTATGTGTTTATGGATTTTGTTTGTTTGTTTTTTGGGATATTGGTGTATTGGGGAGTGGGGCCTTAAGGAACCGTATCATATGCGATGTCTTACTACCATGTTGTTTGGTGCTAGTGGCATGCAGCTATTTATTTTGTCTTTCCTTTATTCTTTATTTGTATCCTGGCATACAAACCTGTCTTTGATTCTTTCGAGATTTATGGTTGGCTATCGTCTTTTCTTTATTTGTATGATGCGTCTCTTTCAATGGTTTGGTGATAAATTTTAGAGATGAATATCACGAATAAATTAGATATGAATATCACGAATAAATTGGTTATAAAAATTTTATAAGTCTGCATATTCAAATAATTTTCACTGCAGAAAATATGGCTAAACTGTAAGCCTATGCAGTAGTTTGACATTAGTGGCTTTCATGGTTTTTGTCATATTTTGCCATTTTTGTGGCAATATTGGAATTCTCAGTTGACCTTTCAGAATATTTTGATTCCCTGCTATTTCTTGTCTTTTTTCCTTAAAAATATATTTTTTCAAATCTTTCTGAGTTTTTTACAGTTATTCATTCTTTCATGAGAGATTGCTACTTCAGTTTCAAGTGGCAATTATTATTCCCATCTGGTACTGTTGTTAAGGTAGCTCAGTTTACCAAGAGTATATATTTTAGGTCTTACAGAAGAACGAACTAAAGTATTTTTGAAGAATGAATTATTTGAACTCATTGTTGAAATTTATCTTGTGTGTTTTTTAGCGGGTGCTTATCTGTTGGTTGAATTATGTGTTCCTCCGTATAGTTTGCCGCATCTTGTAATGCATTCTAGTGATTTATTTGCAAATGATGTGTTAATGTTTGTGGAGGAAACCTTATACGGCCCAGGTCAAAACTTTGTGCGTAATACGCTGATGTTAAATTTTGTCTTGCCAGTTGACTTCTAATATCATTAACTTTTTTTTTTTTGGGTGCATTGTTGATATTTATTCCTTTCTCTTTTAACTAATCTTGTATGGTTATCATTTTGCAGCTGTTATTCATAACCTTTCTTTCTCGTAAATAATTGGAATGTGATCTGGGTTCTAGGTCAATACATCCATGGCTGCAGCTCAAGGACGATTACGGATTGCAAAGGAAGAGCGTGACCAGTTTGAGGAAGCAAACAATCAGATGATTGAGCATTTGAAGACAAAGGTAAATTTGTTTCACTTATTTAACTGTCTGTATGCACACTATTCATAATTCTTTTCAAGATTTGCTTTCTCTATACAGCTCTTGCAATTCAGTTCTCTGAAATAATAATTTGGCTGTTATTGGCAGGAAGAGGAACTTTCAAATTCAATTGCCTCGTGTAAGAAAGAAGCAGATGTTATCAAAACCTGGATTAACTTTCTGGAAGATACTTGGGTTCTCCAGCGATCAAATGCGGAGATCAATGAGAAGCAGGTCAAGTATGTAATCAAACTTGCTGAACTTGAGTAATGTTGACTTGTGCTGATGAATGTTATGATATACACACAATACGTCTTCCACTGTCTGTTTATTCATGAGCAGTATCTAATTCTTGTGTTTTATAGCGATGAATTGGAGAAACATGAGGAGTATTTTGTGAACTTGGCCATCCAACTACTTGCCAGTTATAAGGTACTTATTTAGATAATACTAGTAAAATAATGAACTTGGCCATCTAGCCTCTTGCTACTTGTAAGGTGCTGCATTTAATTTACATATGCAGATAATACTTGTATAATGATGTGATATATATTATATGCAGAACGAGTTGGAGCCTTCTATAAACCATATTGGAACATTTGTGGAGAACCTCAAGAATTTAAGTCCGGGGTAATGATTTTTTTTTTTTTTTTGTTCTGTCTGGCCTAATGTTGTCTTACGATGGTTGTAAAATTTTTGTGAATACAATTATTGGCAGTTTGAGTAGATATCCTGGGTTGAGTGTACATTTGTGGAACTCAAACATGTAAACTTTTTTGCTTGAGGATACAGGTCAGAGGTGTCATCCAATACAAATACTGAGGATTCAGAAGCAGTAAATCCTAGGAAAAATCTTGAGGAGGAATATTTGGCCTCTGAAGCCAAGGTATTGATGAAACTTGAAGAAATTTGAAATTAGCAATTGTGTTTTCGTACGTGACCTTGCTTATATAGATATCCTCTCAAAGGAAAGTATGTCTGCGTCTTTGTTTATTTTGTGCCTTGGCTTGGTGAATGACAAGGAACAAAAAACTGGACCAGACACTAAATCGGTTGAGGTAGTGATTCAAGGGTCAATTGGTCAGACCGAGTTCAATTTGGGATTGAATCGGTCATATTAAAATAATATAATTTAATTGAAAATAATAAAGTATAATAATATTAATAATTACTAATAACAAAATACAAGAAAATATAACAATAGTTTGATTGTAACAATAACAAAGTACAACAACATTGAGAATTTTGATCTTTACAATTCATCAGTAACTAAAATTAGTAATTAGTGATATTAAAATCATCATTAAAATTCATTCAGATCTATAGTGACTGAGATATTAGGAGTTGAATAAAAAAAATAGGACCAATAGTAACAAAATCATTCAAACCCGTTTATTACCTGTTCACTCTTGACCGATTTGATACATAAACCAAACCGGACCACTGGCTGGTTCACTGGTTTTCTGGTTGAACTAGTTGGTTCAGTCCGGTTTTTTGTTTCTTGGTGATTGATGACTATTTTGAAATGCTGCATCATTTACAGCCATACTATGATAAGCATTACTGCGTTTTAACAATAACCCTCTGTTTGAAATTGCCTCTGTTGTATATTCAATTGTCTATGAACCAAATGAATAGTGACTCGTGTTCTGTTACTAATCAGTTTTTTCTGTTTCCAGATTATAACCACCTTCAGTGTTGTGGATAACATGAAACAGCAATTTTATGCTCAACAGGGGAAAATTTCCAGGTTGTGTATTCTGGTTTGACCTTCCTGTTTATTTCCTTTCTCAAGCTCTGGATTTGTTTTGCGTTGCCAACTTCTGGATTGGTTGAAGAAATTCTGATGTGCAGATTGAGTTGTGGTTTTGAAATTACTTTTAGAAATGTTACTCCATTAGGACTTGTTATTAGTGTTTACTGGAATGATCTGGAAATTTGGCTTGCTGAAGAGTTGTGGCTTTTTCATCCAGGAAAAATGAAGAAAAGGTTATAGAGCTGTTTGATGCCATCAGTAAGTTACGAGCACAGTTCGAGTCCATCGAGAGGCCAAATCTCGAATTAGAGAAGCCTGCGCCAAATACAGAGACACCGCCCACTGAGAAACAGCATGATGGTACATCTGCTCCGGCTCAAGGTGCTGACGCTTCCAAAATGCAGACAGGCAAAAAGCCAAAGTCACCTACCGCCAAGTCAGATCAGGTCTTGGACCATGAAGCAGAACTGGCAAAGCTTGAATCTGAGATTGGTGGAGCTGGTCAAGAATACTCCACAGAGGAGATTGGTGATTGGGAATTTGATGAGCTTGAAAGGGAATTGACATCTGGTAATTCAGCTCCAACCCATTGAGGGAATACAAAATCCTGGGATATTAATACTGGTTGTTGTAACTTTATAATGATGTGCAAGTGTCATATATATATATATATGTTGACAAGCTATATTATGTGCTGTTATTGTGGCTGCACCTTGTATGAAGCTCCTTTATGTAACTGAAGAGTATGATTTCTTCATTCTTGTGTAAATTACATGATTTGTAACATGCCGATACCAAATCGTTTTTAACTTGGAAGGCAGATTGTATGTAAATTTGATGCTATGCAATGTATATTTGGAAAGCAGCAAGCTCAGGATAACGATTTCTAACAAAGATGACGTAATGTTAATCTAACTTCTTGTCGTGGGGTTTGTGCATGAAGATGAAGCATCTTTGCAATTTTTATCTTTGTAATTAATGTTTAAATGTAACTCTTTGTATTTTTTGTTATTTTTTTCACAACCGCATTTAATTTATGGTAAAGTTGGAAAAATAGTTTAATTTGTTATATATTTAATGAACTATCATTTCTTAGTTCTGATGAGTTAGTTAGTGACTTGTATTTGTAAACTTGAGGGAGCATTATTTTTTTAATTCATAATTATTGAAGGCATAACAAATGGATTAAAAGTAAATACAGTGATGATAATCATCCGAGCTCAGCTGGTATGTGCCAAGCTGTGCTGCTATTGTTTACATTTTTCTACTACTACTTGTTTCTTTCTTTTCTTTTTTTGTTTAATTAGATCTATTTCTATTTATAATTTCACAGTTCAATTCAATTTTAATTTATTAGACGTCAGGCTCAATGTCAAATGGATAGAATTTTGCCGCAAATGATTTACCGCAAAAAAAAATGTTAGAATTTAATTAGTAGTACTTGGAATTATTAGGCTAGATTTACTTGATTCTAAAAATGAACTGATTACTAATTGTTTAATTCGGTTTTTCCCCCCTAAAAAAATCTGTTGTTTTGGCGGAACTAACACTACCAAGCATAAAATAATTCAAATCTCCAGCCCTGCATCAAAACTTCTCTCAGACCTAAACGTGGCCATAAATTTTGTCCATTAAAAGAGAAACTGAAAGATAAAAGTAGATTTTGATACCAAGAAGGCATTCTAGATATAGAAGTAGGATTTTGTCTTGTCTTTTGAAGAACAGCATGATTATGAAGGGCACAAAGGCTACATATCAAAGTGGAACTCAATTTTTCTAAGCAAAAAACTTATCCAAAGCAATTTAGTGTAGTGACTTGTGAGAGAGGTTGTTTTGTTGATGTTTCTTCCGTTTTGCTTGTTTTGTTTGATGTTTCCAACATTCGCAGCATCTCAGATTCTTCTTTGATGATCTCTTTTCAAATATATCTGAACTTAGCTTCTCTCCCAGCCTTAATTTGTGGATGGTGGGTCTCTCAGATTATAACATGTATGGTCCTATTTTCCCTCCATGTTTCAGTCATTGCATGTCTTTTTGTTTGATGTGAACACAAATATATGGAATTTAAATCGTCTTTCCTATGTTTTTTCATTTGACAAACATGTTAAACCCAAAAAAAAAATTGATACTATTACCACCACCACCACCATTTGTGCAGAAATGCACATGGACGGATCCTCTAATTTTGAAAAACAAAAATGATTTCTTAATCAAAAGATAGATAAATAAATAAGTGATTCACTCACAAAAACTGTGTTTATAAATTGTTATTGAAATGATACTAAACAAAGAAAGAAATTATACTATTTGTAAGCTGAAACATGTTTATGTACATAGAAGAGGATTTGACCCTTGACTTTTACATATATTTAATTTTATCCTCATCACTTGAGCCAACCTTGAGTAGTAAATGAATAATATTTTTTATTTAACAAGAAAGACATTAACGGTTTGAAAGCAGGATTTGAAGTGTTATAATTAATTATATATTCGAATTAGTAGAAGCTTTCACGTTGCCACTAAACCATAAGATTATTGGTGTTAAACAATAATTTAAAAGTGCTGGAATCGTATGATTGAATTACTAAAACCACAATTTGTATTAATTGTTACCAATGATTTTAGCAGTTTAAAAAACTCAAAATAATGAACTCGGTCTAATGCATACACACACACATATATATAAACTATGAATGATTGTGCTAGATATTAATCCTAACATGATAGAATTGAATACTCAATAGTTTGTATTACTTCTTATTCTTAATATAAGAGCTGGTTTCATATTTAATTTGATCCTAAATATAAGATCCAAACTACCTTATCTCTCATATTTATTTATTTTTTTAAAGTAGTCTTTGTAATAGTTACACATATTAAAGGTTTTATCAAATAGTAAATAGTAATTCTATCTAATACATATAATTAATAAGAGTATTCTAGGAAAGACAACACATGATTATTACAAATAACTAACTTAATAAACCTTCTTAATATACTCAAATTAGTTAACTAACTTTTATATTAAGGACCGAAGGTAGTATAAAATAATGTGCACACACACATATAAAGTTTAACCAAATTAAATAGAAACCAAAAGATTGCCGAATAACAATCTTTTGTATTAACAAATAAGTGCAAAAAGCACTGAATAGGCAAGAGTCCAGATCACAATGTATAAAGGTAAAGCCGAAAAGATGGTTGTGTTTGTACCTTGTAGTGTCTGTTTGCAAAGAAACATAATAATGTGAGACAACAATTGGGACATGCATAGATATAAAAGAAGAGGAGGGCATGTTTTGTGTCTGTGAGAGTGACTTCAATTTAAGAAAGTAAACCCCAAAATGTAAGGACTGTGTTAAAAGAAAAGGCACACCAAAGTCTTCACCTTTGACGACATATAATGTGGCTTCTATTTCTTCTTCCCACCATCCCTTGTCTCCTCTTCAATCCTCTCCAATCTTTCAATTTTCTGGCCACTTCTTCCACTATCTATCTGGCATTACTGGATTATGTTTGTTATATAACTGCCACAAACTATGTTATCTCTTATCTCCACATAATAGTCGAGTTATGAATGCAATTGTGAATTAATGAACTAGTCTCCTGACTGATCTGGTCAAGAATTCTGAACAAGTTGATTGGGTTCAATTCTCTATTTTTATCTCTCATTGTTGAGCCTAAAATGATGTTGTTTTGAGCTAAACAAATAGCAGCCAATCATACTTGGTACTTTAATCACTCTGTCTTGTTATATTATGTATAGTTTATATACAAATATTCCATTTACTTATAAATTATTTTAATTTAAATATTATTATTTACGAGGTTATATATGAATACTTTTGTATGTTTTAATTATATTATATTATTTAAATCATGATTGGTATGACTGTGGTTTAACCACAATTGAACTACTAATCTTTGAGCTATTATTACCTTGACTCCATCAATAACCAGCATCATCTCCAATGTTATCTGTAAGGCCTTTTCTTAAAATTATGTTTTTCATTATCCTTAAGACTCCTCACCAAATCTATAAAGTATTTATTAATTTTTTTTCCCCCAAACCTGTCCATATTATAACCTCCTTTCTTATCTAGAAGTATACTTAAGGACATGTCTTTAATGAAGGGTAATTTTAAAATGGCATGACAAAACATAGATGAAGAATCACTTTAAATTATGGAAATTAGTTCAATTTTTGCAGATTAAATCACTGATAATTTTCCACCACGATGATCAGGAATGGGCTAGACTAACTGCAAATTACTTTAGGGGGAAAAAACAAAGTGAACAGTGCAGCATAACTTTGTGAGAAGACATGAGGATTAAATTCCCTGGGTCCACAAGAAAATTTTCATTTTCTCAAATTTTATTTATTTGAATTAAATGCAGACAGAGCAACAATGCACCAAAACAGAAAAATAATCTCGTACTTGACCAATGTGCTCCTCCTTTTGTTTTTTTTTGAATTATTATGGCATCATATCTTCTATGTAGTTTTAAAAGTAGTATTTCGTTATTTCCGTCCGTGAATGGACTTTTATTAGATGCACCAGCAATTATGGTCCTAATTAACATTCCTATAGTTCAACTAATTGATCTAATGCTTATCCTCTAGGTTCATTTCTACTAAATGAATGATCTACTACAATAGAAGAACTTTAAATTAATTTGTGTTAATATAGTCTTTATTTTCTAAAATTTATGTCTATTTTGATTTTGGTCCTTTAAATTTTAAACTCGTAATTTTAGTCCCTAAAAATTAGTTCATCTTGAAAGATTAGTCTTTAAAGGTACAACAATATTAAAATCTACTGAAGTGTTATAAACGGCATTAAAATATTGATGTATACTCACCAAATGGCACTTTAAAAAAATTAATTTAACTACATCTTTTTAATTTATCTAAATTGGTTAAGTAGATGTTATATTAAAAAAAAAAAAAAAGAGGTAGTAGTATTTTTCATGGAGGGTTTTAATCTAAGCGTCATCCGTGCAAGTTAAATAAGTCCTTAAAGGCAAAATACCTTTAATTAAATATGACTTAGATCATCGAAGTTTCCCATTACTCCAAACATATCATTGAAATTTAACTTGAAGTGTTTAAAATTATCTCCCTACATGCCTACACATATATAGGGTAAATGGAGAAAACATATATAGAGGATAGGCGTGGGCCCTAATAAGATGGGTGCGTGCAAGTGGATGCATGGAAATATTTCTCACCACCACCGTCATTTCTCCATGATATAAAGCTGAGTTTGGCATGCATATGGATCACATATCCCACATATACCAAAAATGGCAGCAAAATTACTTCTCCCAGCAGATGGAGAAGATGAGTTCATCGACATGGAGATCAGCTCCCTCTCCAATTTCCTTCTCTCTCACACTTCTCCTTCTCCTAACCCTAATTCATCAGAATTTGAGTTCCAGATGTCCTCCTCCTCCTCCTCCTCCTCCTCCTCCTCCTCCATCTTTCAGCACAGTGAGGCTTCTTCAACTTCCCCAGCTGACGAGCTTTTCTACAAAGGCAAGCTCCTTCCTCTTCACCTTCCTCCCCGTCTTCAAATGGTCCAACAGATCCTCCAAAATCAACAAGATCATTCTTATTTATCAGTAAGTTCTGATTCTGTAAATGATTCTATCTCCAATAGAAGCCCAATTAATAGCCAGAAAGATTATGGCTTTGATGGCTTCTATAGCTCTCCCTTGACAACTTCATACTCAACACCAGTTACAGTAACTCCATTTGAATCCCCCAAAGTCTCACTCCATGAGTCTTTTCGAGTTACGGGTCATGAGATGCTTAACCCAGAAGAAGAAGATCGTGATTTTGTGGACATTGCTGAGAAAAACCAGAAGAAGATGATGAAGAAGGAGAAGAAGCAATTCTTCTCAATGGGTTCCAAATTGAAGGCTTGGTTTGGAAAGATAAGCTGCAAATATGAGTCAGCCTACGTGACAAAGAAAGTGGCAGATGAAGGTTCGGCTTCAAGATCTAGAGAGAGTAATAATTTGAATCATAAGCAGAATGGGAAAGTGGTGATGGGGAAGAAATACCCATTTCGACAGATTATTCAAAGATCAGATAGAGAGAGATTCCAGTCATTCTCATCCAGAATCGAGTTCAGAAGCATAGATATTGACACAGATCAAGATGGAGGAAAGTGTGAGAACTATGGAAGTAATAGAATAAAAAGATCATCATTAGTTGCAAACAATAAGTTATGCTTCAATGGTTCCTCTTCATTTTCTGGGCTTCCAACAAGCAAGTGCATGCATGGATCATGTCAAGAACTAGAGATAGGGAATTTGATTATGGGAGCCATTGCACACTGCAAGCAGTCTCATCAGCAGTACTTCAAATAACAATTAATTTATAATCCATCATCCTTTAGCTAGCTAGCCAGCTAGCAAGTGAAAATATAGTTTTGTAAAATGAAGTTCGAGTTGGGTGTTAGAGAGATTCATAGCTCAAAGAATACTTTGCAAATTATTTAACCACATATCTTTGTATGAGATGTGAGCCTAGGATTAGTTAGATGATGTGATGACAGATGATCAGGTTTTTGTTGGGAAACTTAAGGATGATGTATTCCAAATTGTACATTTGTACGTATGTGTAATTTGTTTGTCACGCATATCTATCATCTGCCCACATATGGTCTATATGTATTGTTGGTGCGTTATTTTTGATACTTTTAAATTAAATTGAGCAACTATAAGTATTTTTTCCATAATGTCTAAGAAATTGTCTTATTCTTGGGTAAATTCCCTTAAAATATTCTTTAAACCAAAATTTTTATCTCTAGACATTCAAAGTAATTTATTATCTTTATCTAGATTATTTTATCTCAGGAAAATTGCAACTATCTTGCCATTGTTTCATTTATTTTAGTGGTTCATCATTTATGGATGGAATTTTTATTTCCTTATGCTGCCATGAAATTTTGATTTAATTAACTGACTGAATACTTTTGGATTTGTATAGATTTTGAGTCCTCTTATTTCGTTAGCTAGACTTTGCTCATGTACGCTTTGTTACCTAAATTTAAACATGATGTGATATTCTATTTTCCGTAAGTATGGATTTTTTTGTTTGTTTTGCCATAGCATAAGTATGGATTTGATTCCTTCTTATTGTTTGACAATATTTGATTTTAGTATTTTTTTTTATCCTATATTATATTCTATTATAGCATTTAAAAGGCTTGTTATATTGTTAAAATACGGTCATGCCAATGACTTTTCGGTTTTCCATTAATGGGTCCCAATTAGTTATTCTTTAAAACTACAATTATGATAGATGATGGTGACGAGATTATGACAAGCATTAACTTTTTTCGTTTGAAGAACTGTTTCCTTTTTTCTACAACTCTTTTGAAGAAATTTACAATAAAATAGGAAAAATTAAAAAAAAAACTGTTAAATAACCCAAATTGTTTATTTAGATTATTAGATTTGTCAAATTCTGAATCAAGTCATGTGACCCAAAGAAGGCTTTTAAAATTTTATGAAATGATACTAATGTCTATTTTATTAGAAACAAAAAGAAAATTCTAAATTAATCTATTCCATTTTGTGATTAACACGTTTTAATTCTAAATTAATAATTTCTTATCTTTATAATACAAAGCTTTTAGATAAAACTTGATCACAATACAATCTTAAAAATTAATATATTTAATTATGTAATTAACAAGTTTCAATTTTAAATTAGCACGTTAATGTCTCCAAAACACACTTGTAATAAATTTTTAAATAAAATTTGATCATAATACAACATTAAAAGTTATCATATTCTATTTCACAGTTAATACGTTTTAATTCTAAATTTATAAATTTTTTTCTCCATAACATTTGCAATAATAAGTTTATGAATAAAATTTGATCACAATGCAACTTTTAAAATTAACATATTTCGTTTTAATTTTAAATTAACAACTTTCTATCTTCATAATATACTTGCAGGATTAAGGGAAGAATATTTAATATAAAAAATAACTCATCATTGCCTCCTTAATTGATTTTTTTTTTTTACTTGGCAATGGTAGACACCAAGTTTTCTTCAATAAAAGCATTTACGTTACACAGAATATAATGGTGGAAATTCTCATCTCTCTAGGTTTTTGATGCAATGGATATTATAGTTATTTCATAAAATTTTCAAATTCTTGTTTGGGTCATGTGACCTAATTAAGACTTTGACAAATTCAATTACACAAATAAGGATTTAGGTTATTTAAATGTCTTTTTAAACAATTTTTTATTAAAATATTTTTTATATATATTTTACTTTTCAAGAGATATTAAATCTCAACTATTCAAAATTGATTTGATGGTGAGGATAAAGAAGTGAAGGGAAGTAGTAGATGATAAACTAAATGAATAGGTTTTCTTCCCAACGTGCTCCTGTTATGACTCTGCAACTACGCAGGACGCCAGAAAGGAGCAAGATGACCACCAACCTCCATTGCGCTTGTATACGACGGAGATAAAGATAACCCATTGGTATCATTTTCTATGAATACTGGTTGGCTCAATTTAGCTTCCATAATGTTACCAAAAAAGAACTTTCTGTTTCTATAAAAACAGGAATTAGCCCATCCTTGCCATCTCATTTTGTTAATTTTTTTTCAAAAAAAAAAAAAATTTATTGACTCTGCTTTTCTTTTCTTTCTTTTTTGCGAATGCTATTAATTAATATTTGTGTAGTGTTTATCACTTTATCTTCCTTCGTACAAGGGCGTTTGGGCCATTTGCATATTCAACTTTCTTACATTCATTATTTAATACAATTAACTAGTTTTTATTGTTGTGTTGGCTTTTTAAAATTTCACTTAATGCTATACCAACATATTTTAATGTCATATAAAGGCATGGAATTATATAATTGGGGAATATAATTGGGGAATTAGAGGGTGCCTATGATAAATGAAGTATTTCAGAAATTTAAAAAATTGAAAATAAAATAAAAAAAAGTCAGAATTTTTTAAGGAAAAAGAAAACAATATTGATCTCGTTAGTCATTAGACAAGAAGTATAACACTCCATCAATTTGTATTAGTTAGATTACTTATTAATAGAAAAAGCATTTATCAGTCTTTCTAGAATCATAAATATATTGTTTCTAGACGTTGAATTAAATTAAAATATGATGTTAAACTGATCATTTACATGCATCTGCTCGTTGCTTTGGATTATATAGCCCAACCTCCGATTTTTATCCCACATTACAAATTATTACAATGAACACACAAGTCCTCTACCATGACGCCTCCTTATCAAGCTGCGTAAGCATTAGGCATGAAATATTCATACCAGTGTTGATTAGCACCAAGGAATCTTAAAAATAAACTAAAATCTTAGTATCACAGACTTCGAAAATATGTTGTCAGATAAGTCGAAAACAAGATCCTTGTTCGATTTCTTCTTTCTGCAAATCACTGTATCAGCCCATAAATGGCATATATTTACCTGGGTGATCAAGATAATACACTAGGCTCTGCAACAAAGAAATATAATGAAAACCAAGCTTGATTCCAATAAGTCATGGTACTGCAGCAAGAGGTAAGAGGATGAATATGTGTACACATATAGTTTCTTATTTCGCTCTTGAAGCAGTGATCTGGAGCATAAATCAAGAACAACTGTCACAGTTTTCATCATAACTTGGTCTGATACCTTCGGCCAGGATTGCAAATTCGAGGTTAAAGGGCGTAAATCCGTTCGATCTCTGAATTGGAGAAGTCAGAATGATGCCATGAGTTAGATCCACTTCTTTTAGCATACTTCTGCTTTCTCATTGATCGGCCTCTCTTGGACTTCACCACATAGTAAGTCATTGTGCCAATAACTCCAGATATTATTACTCCCCCAACTACTGTAACCAGAATGCCGCCCACACGTTCTTCCGACCGACTACTATGTACGAGGAGGCTATGAATGCAACAGAAGTACAAACAGAAGCCAGCCACATTAGCTTGTTAATCACCTCCACCACCCGTCTCTCCGCTTTAGTTTCCCCTCTAACCAAGGTAATTTGAACAACCACAACAGCCAAGGATGTAAAAAGTGCAATAGCGTTAAAGATGAAGAAGATTTTAAAAGCCGAACCGCTTGCTACCACTGCAATACCATCATCATCATCACCACCAGGTACAGTAAAAATAGCAGCAAAAGCAACTGTTGCAAACAACACGGCGACAAACAGTTACCGAGTTTGTGGCATTGTTGATTCCTTCCCTGTGGAGTTTTCTTAGCTCTTTAGAGATATTATGAACATTTTTGTGGTTTTCCTGGTTTGTTCTAGCTGGATGTGAACATCTTTCTTAATCTGAGTGACAGTTTTCCTCAGTTCATCTCTTGGTTGGTTGAGCTCATTAGCTCTCAGAGCCCCATACCGAGAAAGGCAATCCTTTATGTCTGAGGACTCTTCAGAAAGCGGAAGACCTTCAGCAATGTCAAGAGCTGTTTTGTGGTCTCTGGTTAATGCATTAACATTGGTGTCTGGTAGATTTAATAACTCGTTCACTATCTGTGAAGGAAAACGAGGAGGCACAAATTAGAATTGTATCTTTTGAAGAACTCAAGTGAAGGCACACACACATACACACACAGCGGGTAAAGCTGAGCAATTGATGGCATATACCTCTGCTCGCTTTTTCCTGGTTGCTACATGCAATGCCGTGTTACCAAATTTGTCGGGAAGCATGACAATAGCAGCGTCTGCATCAAGCAGCAGTTTTACCACATCACAACTCTGTCCTTTTACAGCCATATGCAATGCAGTCTGTCCTTTCTTGTCAGTCCTACGTGCCAATTGTGGGTCTTTACCGAGCAGTGCTTTTACAACTTCTACATGGCCCTGACGTGCAGCTAAATGCAATGCATTTTTGCCATTTGACCTAGAGATTTCCAACAAGCTACCATCCTTCGACAGCAGTTCATTTTACCACTTGTGTGCCCTCTTGTCGCTGCAGATATAAGTGGAGTAGTAGCATTTGATGGGCCAATTGTCCTTGCTTAATCCTGGGTCATAATCAAGTAAAACCTGGACAATGGCTGCAAACAAATTGCTAAAGATTACATTGATGACCAGAAAATATAGCACTTCCACTACATGACATCGCTAAAATATTAGTGAAAAAGTTGAAGGCATATATATGGCATATTCTTTTACCGCATCTTCATATTCTGGACTGAATTATTTAGGGAAGACCCAGCGAAAAGAAGACATTACAAAAAAATCTGAATAACAATAGAATAATATGCAATGACAAGTTCTAGGATAAGAAATGACAACTGCTCACTTGTCATTGAGATTTATTGGTAATTATTTTCTTTCCTTGAGACCTCATTGAAATTCT